ATCTAGTGCCTTGATTAATATAAGACCATCACCTCGGCAGGACATTTTTTAGGTTTTTTTTAGACAGGAAACGTACCGATCGAGTTACTGCTTCAAACTGAGCTTAAATTGAAGTTTGAATATTTTCGAGTCAGAATTTTACTCTTATTTTCCCACTGAACCCACTGAAAAAATTTATTTTTACCGCTGAACCTCCTGACAGAAATTATTTTGCCGCTGAACCTCCTGACAGAAATTCTTTTTGCCGCTGAACCTGCTTACTATACTTTATTTAAAATAAAAATTTTTGTCTTCATCCAGAATATCTACGCGTTTTCCATAATTATTATAAATTTATTAACGAAATATATATTATTAAATTAGTTTTATCAACATTTGACGATTAGAAATTATTTGTAGTGATTTAAAATAATTTCTAATAGTTAGTAATGGTGAGGAAATATTTTCTATAATAGCTAATTGTTTATAACAATACATTATTATATTTCATATGATTTTTATATCACTACCGAGTACAGAATGTTTTTATAAACTATTTTTAATAGTATTCAGTTTCTTTGATTAATATTCATTAAAAAAAAAAATTATTAAGTTACTTTCAATAATCAGTGATTATTAATTGCAACTTTTAAAGATTTTTTTATTATTTTGTATATTTTAATTAATTTTTCATTATAAGAGTTACCATTAATAGTATTTCATTTATAATATCAATGATTGTGGATTTAAATAAGTAAAAAAAAAAAAAATTTATAAATTCGACCCAGCGCAGTGGATGCAGGGACCTGGACTCGATCTCTCGACGTTAAGCAAAATTTCTCGTGTACAGAACTTGGATGGGTGACCACCGGGAACACCAACGATTTTTCTCTACTTCCTGCTGGACCCCTTGCATGAAAAAATCCCACTGAACCTCCTGAATTTTCATTTCACGTTAAACCCCTTGAAATTTTTTTGCCGCTGAAGCCCCTGAATTTGTTTGAAATATTATGCCACTAAAGGTGTTGAATCGGGAATTATGAAGGGAGTGCAGCGGAAAAACATAAAAATATTTTATATTAATTTTAAAATTAATATAAAATATTTATAATATTTAAAATATATTTATTTATTAATACTATAATTATGCATTACTTTTACTCCATCCCTAAAACCTTTGAGTGTCTCAAATGTTTAACCATTTATAAATCTTTAACGTTATTTTTATTGGATTTCATTGCTTTTGTTTATTATTCTATTATTTTTTAAGTGTAACTTGATTTCTTTAGTGGAATGAATTTTTCCTATTTGGGGGGATTCGAACCTACGACCGCCCGCTCGCACGTAACTTAAACCTACGTTTTTAACCACTAGGCAATTCTGACACTTAATTCCAAAATTGAAAATAGGCCCATATAAACATACATTTCAATGTCTTCTTTTTATTTTTAATAAAAATATGTTATGTAACATTTAAATAACAGTTGCATAACAGATGTAATATACCATAGAGATTACAGTGTTATATCATAAAAACATAACATTAATTAACAAAAAATATATACTACTAGTATAACAGTGTTATATAACATGGATACAATATGCATGTAACGCTAATTATATTGCCATTAGATAACTACGTTATATAGCTACAACGTCACATGGGTGTGACATCTGCAATATAAACTTGTTACTTTGACAATATATTACAGTTATATAACATATATGTAACTTTTCGTTATATAACTTGTAACATATTGTTACCTTTGTGTTATATTGCTGTTATATTCAGTGTTTACTGGGATAGTACTAAATTTCCAATCTTTTCTTCTGTGTATAAAAAATTCTAATGTCATAATAAATTCAAGTTATAAAAAAGAGCGTTTAAAAGTCAGCTAAAAAATTCGTTTATGATGTTTAACATTGTAAACACTTTAAGTGTTTAGTTTCTTTGCAATGATAATCTACAAGTGAACAAGATTTTGTCACAATCATTTCTTGTTACTTTGTAAATTTTTATATAAAAAATAGTTTCTTTTACTTATATGCTCAAGTGTTTAGAAAACTAAAGCTTAAAAGTGTTAATATTAAATACTAACTATTATCAAATATGAATTCGTTATGTAATATATAAAAAACAAAATAATTAATGTAGTTATTTTCAACCGTTGAAGTAAAAATAAACTGAGAATTTGAAGTATTAAACAACACTTCTGTAAACTGAAAGAAAAAAAAAATAATTTACGGTAAGTCAAGAGAAATATGTAGGAATAAAACGATTATCCAGCTTTGTAAATTGTATTTTCTTGGGGTGAGAGAACATTTTCTATTTGCGTAAATGTTCTTATACGTCCGGTATTTTCTGTTTCTGCTTAAACTTATAAATTGAATTTTGTTACTATCTTAGCTGTGCATTCTTTAGTCTATTATACTGATAAAATAGTTAATCTTTCTCATAAATATTTTAAATGGAATTTTTTTATTCAAGTTTCTTAGAAAAATGTCGAAATAAAGAAAAATAAAAGAAAGGAAAGAAGATCAGTGCTGATGATCAAACTTAGCCGTACAGTTTTTTCACAAAGATCGCAGAAAAATCCCAGGCAAGCTTTTGGGTGAATATAAAAGATGGAGAAATGAAGGGGATGAAACTCTAGTGGTAAGTTGGCAATGGATGAATCCAGCTCTGGGCTTTCTCTTCCGTGGGTGTCAAAATGATCACAGTAAAGAAAATTAAGGACCATAAAATGAAAATTAAAAAAAAAAAACACTAGAATTTTTAAGAGACAAAAAAAGCTGTTTAAGACATGATCCAATCAAAAATTTACAACTTAGCAGATTTGAATTTTTAGGCTACTGACATTCTTATGAATACTTCAATGAAGCAGAAAGTCTTCTAAAAAAATTCCTCAGTCAAAATAAAACGTCTCAATTTATTCCTTTCATAATATTCCTATCCTTTCTATCCTAGATTCAACCTTTTTATCCTAATATTATTCTGTTTCATTGTTTTAAGTGAATAAAAATTAGGATAATAAAGCCTAATTTTAACCTTCTAATCCTGATACTACTTTTATTCTTCTGAAGTAGGTAAAAATTATGAGATAGACAAAATAGTCTGATTTAAACTTCACAAATTTATTTGTTTATATCTAATAGTACTTATGGAAATAGTTGGAATAAGGTACGATTCATATAATGGATTAAGTTTCCAAAAATTATATTTATTAAAAACTAAATTGTTTTAAATTATTTGTTAAAACCTAATAATGAATTAAATAAAATTGTTCTTTCAAATATGAACATGGTCAATATTATAATAACTCCCATTACAGTCATCCTTTTTTTAATAATACATATGATGTTATTGCTTATAATAATAATGCTAATGGACAGCCCAATGATAATTAAAATAAAATTAATAATTATGAAAAATAATGTTTTTATTAAAATCTCAAATAAAATTAGATTAAAACCAAGAAAAGCATGAAATAAAAGTAGGAAAAAGCTGAGACAAAAGAAAAATAGGATTAGGATGAAGATGGAATAAAATTAGTATGAGTTTAAGGTAGAATTGAAAAATCTTCGTCCTACGGAAACACTGATTTGTTGCGTATTCCAATTTGAATTAGGATTCGTTTATCTTGAGTTAAACCTTAAGAAAGGATAGTCTTAGGATCGAAATAGATGTTTCATTTCGACTCGGGATATCATCATTGAGAAATACATCTCAATGATGTTTTATGGTCAAAGAATGACAAACAAAAAAAGAAAAAGCAAAAAATGAGAGTAATTCTAGGAGGGGAAAAAATGTCTCATTAAAAATTTTTTATAACTTTTATGCTCTAAATTTATATTAGCATGACATTTTTTACATTGTCTAAAATTATTTGTTGATTATTAACTTATATAACTTGATTATTAGTATTTGCTACCTGTAAAAGTATTTGTTTGAATTTAACGCTCATTAACTCATGAAATCTATTAAAAGACAATAAATTTAATTACTAGCATATTCACAATGTGTTACATTACAGTTGATAATGGAAATTGTTCGAAATCATTTTAAAAATGAGTAATTTATTTTTCAATAAATTACGATTGTTGCACTTTTCCATAAACAAACACAAATGAAAAAAACAGATAATAACTTTTTAGTCGTCATCTTGGTTTGAAAAATCTATATTCGATAATACGGAAATAGTATTAAGAATCTGTTTTTTGAATAAAATGTGAAATTTCCGTCTTTTATCTATTTTAACATTGAAATACAGAAATACAATTAGTGACCAACTTATGTAACACTTAATGAGACTTGAAAATCAAGATTGATTTTTTATCATAAAATGCAGGAAATTACATTGTAAAATGGATCGTAATGTAAACATTGAATTTTTATCATCAGAAAAATAAATTGATTGAAACTATATGATAATAAAAATTCTTTATCTCAATTAAAAGTATAGTATTTTAAAACGCGATTTAACTACTTCCTGTTTGATATTCATTGATTGAAGAAAGGTTTTATTAGATACTCTTGTAACCATCCATACGAGCAATTAAAAGATGATTAATTCAATTAACACTTTTTATAGATTTTTAACGTGTAAAATTGTATTATCAATGTTATTCTTATTTTCTAAGAAAAAAAAAAACAATAAAAATGAATTAATATTACAGTAAAGTAGTGATTACTTATTAGCTCTATGAAAAGGCTTACTGTTTTATTACTGAAGAGCAGATCTTCAAAAAATTATTCTACAGCATAATAACTTTATGTTACTAGCAAGACATTGCTTTGAAAGATGAAGAATATTTTATTGTAGTTTAATTTTATCTACAACGAGGTATAGATTGAATAATAATGGAATAATTTTTTTGAAGAAAAAGAAGAATCTGTGTATATAATTATTTATAAAGATATTACGGGGTAGAACTTTTTTCGAAATTATATTTTCTGTTATTAGAAATTACAGTATGGAATCCAATACGCGATTACTTCACGCATTTAGCATAGAGTGTTTTCTTTATATATGTATATGTATATACATAGGAATACAGAATACACAAATAATCGAGTATTGTGTTATTATTTTCCTTTATAGAATCAACGTGTAATTATTACAATTTATGTATATTATTTTAATAAGCTTCAAACATAAGAGCACTGTAGGACATGTTTGTAGAATTTAGCATCTGTCGAATACACAATTGAAAAAAATTCCTATGACATCTATTGCCACATCAGTTTTTTCAGCTAATCATGAAAGAATATTGAAAATATAGAGAAAAAAGTTGCAGATTTTTATATAAATACATTATATAGTTATTAGAAATAAGTGAAAAAATTAAATTCACTATTAAGTGAGAATATTTCATTCAACTTATCACGACTGTTAATTAATTTAACTACTTTCGTTCCTATCAATTACCTTCTATTTTGCACATTCTTGCATAAGATTCAACAGAGTATAGTATCGCAGGGTTTAGATCCGGAAAATATTTTTTGACATCTTCCATAATTGTGTGAACATTAATTTTTGAATTTTCCGTCTAGAAATTGAATAATTAAAGTTTGAAATCACTTAAATCATGTTTGAATTAATTGAATGCGTATAAATATTTTTGCTCACATATCCGTGAAGTTCTGCAACGCACGATTTCCAGCGACGAATCTCTTCATTATCCGCTTTATAATTATCATCGAGTTCTTGGCGACTCTCTGATAAATTAATTTCATGATAAGTAATTTTATCAATATTCTAGGAGAATAGAAAATAAATAAAAAATAATTGTAAACCTTCCGACATGAAATGTATACATTGATCATAGTATCTATTTTTCATATCATTATGCCATTTTGTTGCGTTATTTTCGTCATCCTTTAAGTAAAAAACGTCAGTTGTTAAAAATAATTAAACAAATAAATTTTATAGTTAAATCGTTGCTGTGTTACGTACAGATTGAGCAATTCCACTGACACAGAGCAAAAAAACACCGAAAAAAGTAAAGAATAACAATTTTATAAACGCCATTTTTTCTTAACAGATTTTTCTTTAGTATGCCAATTTAAAATATAAGACCAGAATTGGATTGCATTTGATCGAAGCAACTCTTTTTATATAAAAAAGTAGGATTCCCATATATAATCAATTGTCATCATGGCGATTGCACAAAAATGATATCGATGATTACTTTATGTAATATCTGATAAGACTTATAAAAATAGAGAGAATCATAATAAAGTATGGATTTCTAACAATGTTGGATAATATTTCATAGAAACAAATGAATGAAAAAGAATTCATTGAAAAAATTCTATGAGATATTGCAATTTATATTGAAGTCATATAACCACATCCCGTTCATCACCTATTAATGACATACCTATTTTATCAGATAAACTGATAATGACGTACATAGTTTGGACAACCCGAGTAAAAATAAATAGACCCAAAAGAAGCCTAAAACACGCCCAAAATGAAAAATAAGACCAATACAGGCCCGATTGAAGCCCAATCTTGACTTGGAAAAATTTTCAGTGCCCAAAACATGCCCATTACAGGCCTAAATTTCGAAGAAGCCCAATTCAAGCACAAAAACATTTTCTAAGCTCACCACGCGCCCTATTCGAGCCCAAAAATATTTTGCAGGCCTAAAACACGCCCAATTCAAGCTGATTTTTTAAGATTATATTCGACAATGATGACAATAAATCACTACAAATGTAAATTAGTAGCACGAACGTTAATTTGATGATAAGTTTTTATGACAATTTTGTTTTTTTTTCTAGATTTTTAAAATATTGGTCATACATCATGGGTCTCGAGAATATTTTTCGGCTTCAATTAGGCGTGTTTTAAGCCTGCAAAAAAGTTTTAAGTTTGATTTGGGCGCGTTGAGAGCCTAAAAAATCATTTGGGCTCGAATTAGGTCTCCTTTGGGCGCGCCCAAAAACTGACCATTTTTACTCGGGCCTGACTAGTTTAAGAATTTTCAACAATTATTCTTTCACGACCATAAATAAAGAACATTATTTTCATGTTCAAAGAAATATTTTTTAATTCATTTTTTACATCAAAAAAGTTTGCTAGAAATTTTTATAATTAAAATATAAAATTAATTGAGATGTAAATAAGATAATCATTCAGTAATTTAATTTTTTTTTTTTACGTAGAAAAAGTTTTTTGAAAAATTTAATTTAAGATTGTCAACATAACTTTGAGTGAGCAACTTATTAATTGTATTATAAATTATATGAAAGTTTTAGAGCATAATAACTTTCCACATGTTATCATTTCTTCACGCAGAATAATTTTGTTTATAAATATTGATTTTATGTCATGAATTGTTCAAAAGTTTCATTGAAGCTTCAAGTTATTTAGATTATAGATTAATTGAACAATTTCACCATCAATTCGTTGATGAAAATCAATTTAGCCTTCAAGATATACAGGGAAAAAATATTTTTTTTTTTCTAAGCTTCAACGTTATTGCTCAAAATTATTAAACTGCTGTCTCATACACCTGCGGTCAGTGTATCAGTGTTGGTATTTGGATCATGAAGGTATCGCTAGCAACGAGTATAGTATTGAAGGGTGCCCAGCAACGTAGAAGCTTCCTGGGCGTTATATTCATCCTTTAGTTTGGTTCTACAATTACATGGTAATCATTGGTTTCAATTTTTGACACCCCTCTGTTACCTCATGCCATATTATCCTCCTGCCTCTACTACCCTTTCCACTTAATAACTAGTTAGCTGTATGGTTTGCTTTCCTGAACTCTATATCCAAATTTATATCAAGTTTACTATGACTTTATGAACTCTCTTAGGGAAATACTAACATTTGTTATAACATTCTGTAACTAACTATCAAGAATATTCCCAGATTATTTCCAGTAATAACTTAATCCGGCTAAGTATTTTAAAGTCCATTTGCATATCGATTACTTAACTGGTGATGGAGTTAAGGAATAAAAAGTGATAGAGTTGTGTTGAGTCTTTTTTTTTATCTCTTGGATGATGGAACATTAAAATACCGAAAAAGTTTGATAAAAATTCTAGAGGTAAAATATTGGTAGCAAGAAGCTCTATTGATTCAGTTTTTTTTTTGATGGAGAGAAATGTTTTTAACCATTTTTATTATCAGAAAATGAGGTGTGAATTGATCGCACTAGCAGAGAAAAAGTAGCTTTTGTTTGTCAAATTATAGTTCAAAAGAGGCTCAAATAACAAAAAAATAGTCAAACATTTTCACTTGAAACATTTTTTTTCAACCAATAATTTAAATACTTGATTTTTTTTTCAATTAATGTTTCATGATCAAGATTGAACTTTATAATGAATTTATAAAACAAGTATTTTATTATGAGCAAACAATTTATTCATTTAACTTTAATAAAATACAAATTATTTGTTGATAATTTTGTTGTGATGAACAATTTATAAATAATTAACTGATATGCCTTAGCTTTTTCCCACTTTTATTTCATACTTTTCTTGGTTTCAATCTAATTTTATTTGAGATCTTAATAAAAACATTCTTTTCCATAATTATTAATGTTATTTTAATTATCATTGGGCTGCCCATCAGCATTATGATTATAAGCATTAACATCATATGTATTATTGAAAAAAGGATGACTGTAATGGGAGTTATTATAATATTGACCATGTTCATATTTGAAAGAGCAATTTCATTTAATTCATTATTAGGTTTTAACAAATAATTTAAAACAATTTAGTTTTTAATAAATATAATTTTTGGATTAATTAATTAATCCATTATATGAATCGTACCTTATTCCAACTATTTCTATAAGTACTATTAGATATAAACAAATAAATTTGTGAAGTTTAAATCAGACTATTTTGTCTATCTCATAATTTTTACCTACTTCAGAAGAATAAAAGTAGTATCAGGATTAGAAGGTTAAAATTAGGCTTTATTATCCTAATTTTTATTCACTTAAAACAATGAAACAGAATAATATTAGGATAAAAAGGTTGAATCTAGGATAGAAAGGATAGGAATATTATGAAAGGAATAAATTGAGACGTTTTATTTTGACTCGGGATATTATGATATAAATTTCAGTTTTTTAATTTTCAAGACATCAATATTATTATCACATTTACGACTACTCCAAAGTCATATCTTGCCAAATTTCGATTTCATAAATGACCTGAAAGTGGTCCAAGGTAGGAAGTTGATCAACTTATTTTCTAATGTTGCAAGGAAAAACAAACGCTTGAGTTCAAATCAACGTCAATATATTCTCCAATAATGTGATCTATTTTGTCAATCAGAAAGTCTTTTATTTCTAGTTGAACAACGAGTATCCGTCATGAATCTGATTTGACCCGGAGAATAGAGTGAAGAGTCTCACTGTCGACGTTTTGTTCCTCTTCAAGATCCCTTTTCCTCTTCTATTCTTTCATCCCATTGGCCTTTGCCCTCCTCCTCTTCCCCCCTGGGGTCTGACGCACTACCATCAAATGTTACTGCTAGTCGTCAACGGGACCCTCGAGCCAATCGATGAGGAATTCAGGGTCTGCGCTTTTTTCACCGCTCCTAGATATTGCTCTTAGGCTTAATAAAAGCACATATCAAATTAAATTATACTTCATAACTCAAGTCCAAATATAGACATTTTGCAAATATTATTTTATCCAAATTAAATTGTTATCTTTGATTGAAAATAATCTGAATGAATAATATTGAAAAAACATGATGTAATAATTAAAAGGTAAATATTTGATAAGTACATGTCAAGCACAATTGGATATTATTACGTAAAATGGAAACATCGATAATGATCATTTCAAAAGCATTTGGAAATAACGAAGCTCTGTTCCAAGTGGAACTACCCTTGGGGCACATAGCAGCCCTGTGTGTATTAATTTACTCGCGGCTTGAAGGCACGTAGCTGAGTGTTGCGCGTGAGAGGGCATTTAGAATGAGAAAGACAAAGACAATGCGTAGAGAATGAAAGTACAACTCGGTGTTGGTTGTCCACATTAGTGTTGGTGAACGAGAGACAACGAAAAAGGGAAAGGGGATAGCAAATGCGAGGGGATGAAATGGAAAGAGAGTGTGCGGGTGTTAGGGTAGTGCGCCGGCGGGTACCTCGCAGTTTGGTTTGCGGGGTCGGAGTTTGAGTTCGGGGCCGAGCCACCCCCGCAGGGGCGGAAACTACGAGAGAGGGTAGCACATGGATCAATACTTGGGCATGCAGGGAGAAAGCCAGAGAGTATAGACATTGAGAGAAGACTAGAAAGCGCAAACGACCAGTGGAGATCTACTGCAATTCTCGGGATGACAAACTTTCTCTCTTACACCAACCCTCTACTATCTATACTGGTCACAAACGACTGCCCTGAGAGTCGAACCTTACCAGATCTCGGAAAACTGATTGAGGGATAGGAATAATACCTGTGGATCACCAACTACAGATTATTGAACATATTATCTAACAATGCTGAAAGATTCATCATCAACTAACATTAGACAAGTTCAATTCGAGTTATCAACAATCCAAGGTTATACCTATAGATAACCACATGGCTTTGATACATAATGAAATTGCCATCTCTCTATTATGCTCGATGTAATAACACAGCAGGGTAACTTGGATTAAAGGATTTCTAATTATGATATCATCTCAGGATGACGAAGTAACTTGAAAATTGACAAATATTTGTCAATTATTTTTCAACCACTTGAATAAGCTTCAATATGAATTTAATTGCATACTTTCATTCTATTACATTCTCAACACTTCTTAAGTAAATACAAATTTTATTAAGGAGTCATTTGTTTAGGTGCTTAAGTGATTTTTAAGTGTCTTGATGTTTTAGTAGACTTAATAAAAAATATATCAAGATATTAGCAAGAATTCCAAACCATCCTGAGCTTAAATTATTGCTTGTAAGATTTTTATGATGCTTGTAAGGGTGGTTGTTTTTAATTGGGATTTTTATCTCTACTAGCTGTACATGGAGAGATGAATTGAATAAAAATTATCCGGAGGTGCAGTGTAATCATGGTACATAGCAAAAATAATAATAATAT